AATGTCCCCCGGCTGTTATATCCGTTTTCCCCAAATCCCCTTTCGACAGCCTCACATGTATGGCATGTCTGAAATGTATCTTGCGTTTTTCGTTAATTTTTTTTAAAATTCCTCAACGTTGCCCGCGGGGGCCTCTTCAACTATGCTTCCGTGGTTATTGCCGGCACTAACGAGAACGGGTTTCAAAATTGTAGTGTGCTGGCCGCACAAGTTCTTCCACAACCTTGTCGACAAAAACACTTAATTCCTTCTTGCGCGAGGGGTCCTCTGTGATGAGCTCAGCGTACCACTTCAGCTTTGGTTCCGTGCCGCTGCCACGAATAGTCATGGTGACCCCGTTGTCAAAGTAGAAGGTCACGATTGGGCTTGAGGGCGAGGTTGGAAGCGTCGCCCGCTTGTCAGGCATCCGGGTGTCTATCCCCGTAGCCAAGTCCCGGATGTGCAGCACACCGGCTCCTGCAACCTTGTCTGGGTAGGCCCCATCCTTCATCTTTGCCATTGCCTCGAACATCTCCCGAATACGCGCAGGATCACGGGCAATGACATAGGAGCTGCAGGTAAAATGAAACCCGTACTCTTTGAATATATCAAGAAGCTTTTCAGAGAGAGACTTCTTCTCCTCCTTCTCAACGAAGGAAGCCATGTCGGCCATGACGGCGGCAGCTGTGACGCCGTCCTTGTCAAAGACGCGGGTTCCCCACATGTACCCAATCGCCTCCTCGAACGCCAAGAGAACACGCGCCGAAGATTCCCGCTGGAGAGACTCCGCCAAACTTCCCATCCATTTAAACCCTGTAAGTGTCTCGGCATGACGCATCCCCTCCTTTGTGGCAATGGAACGGAGAATCATTGAGCTGACAATACTGAACACAAAGTAACAGTCTTGTAGCGACTCTCCGAAGCGACGGGCGCGGAAAATGGTCCACCAACCAAGCAAAGCTCCAACCTCATTCCCGGTGAACACGCGCCAACTTCCGTCGCTTTGCCTTTCAGCAACAGCAAGTCGATCTGCATCGGGGTCATTAGCCAAAATGTACCTTGACCCCGACGCTGCTGCTGTCTCCATGGCGAGGGTGAGTGTCCCCGCGCCCTCCTCCGGGTTTGGGAACTTGACTGTGGGAAATTCGGGGTCGGGTGTGGCCTGTGCCTTTACAACACTGACGCAGTGATGCGGAACCCCCACAGTCTCCAGCGCCTTCACCGTAAACGGGCACCCCACACCATGCAGTGCCGTATAGGTGAAGTTAACAGGATGGTCGGCGGCGAGTGGCTTGTATTCGGATTTGAGGGTGGCAAAGTACTGGCTCCAAACCTCTTGAAACGGATCCGTGGCGCCTGCTGCCGTCTCCCATGAGGAATCCAAAGGAGCCAAGTTGTCCATAATGGCACGTGAAATATTTTTGTCATGGGGTGGAATGATCTGTGCGCCGTTGCTCCAGTACACCTTGTATCCATTGTCTTCCTTGGGGTTGTGGCTCGCGGTGACCATCACCCCGGCCACGCAACCAAAGAGCCGAATGGAAAAAGGAACAAAGGGCGTAGGCACAACTTGGCCAAAAAGTCGCGTGCGGATGCCGGCGTTAAGAAAAACGTTCGCCGACAACTCCGCAAATCGTTTACTGCCGTAGCGACCATCGAACCCAATCACTACTCCTTTTGATGCAAGCTCATCGACTGTAAAGGTGGATCTTAGATATGTACTCAATCCTTGTGCCGTTTGGATGATCGTCAGGGAGTTCATCTGACTGTTCCCAGCGCCCACCTTTGACCGAAGGCCGGCGGTCCCAAATTCCATTCGAGCTCCAAGAAGACGCTGTAACTCGTCTTTGCGCCCCTCTCGCTGAAGTTTTTCAATAACCCCTCGCGTTTGGGGATCTTTGTCCCACAAAAGCCACTGCTGAACGCTTTCCTCAAGTGACATTTATTTCGCACTTTGTGTGTGTCTGTGTATATGTGTGTCTTTTGTTTTGTGCCAGTTATAGGGATTATTTTATTTTAGTTTCCTTTTTGTTTGCTTTTTTTTTTGCTGCGACTAGCGGCTTCGGTTGATTTGCTATGCCTCGCCTTCTTGCTATCGTTTTTTGACTTTTTTTTTATGTTTCGTTTTTCGTTTTGTTCGCTTCCTACTCTGCTCACGCGCGAGCCCTACAAAAGCAACACACCGCACGCACCCACAGCAGCAAGAAGAAGAGGATAGCACAGATGCACGGCACTGTTTCACTCTACACCCAAGCGGCTATTTTCCTGTTATTGCCCCCATTCCCTGAGTTGATTCCCTCAGACGTGGGGGACGGCCCTGCCGTTCTCTCTCCCTGTGTGTGTGTGTGTGTGTGACTTCCGTTTGGCACTGCAAGGGAAGTGCACCCAGTGGTTTCGAGGGGGGGGGGGCTTAGAGCGGAGCGGAGGGGAGGTGAACGGGGAAGGAAAAGGAAAAAGATGTGCCGCGACCCGGGATCGAACCAGGGACCTTCAGATCTTCAGTCTGACGCTCTCCCAACTGAGCTATCGCGGCTGCGGACGCCGCTGACAGGTCCTCACCCTTCGCTTTTTCTTCGCGTCTTCCCGCCAAGGAAAGGCGCCCGCGGAAAATCACGATCGGCACCGATCAAAGGCAAGAAGCGAGAAGAAAAAAAAAAAACAGCAACGACTGTTTTTTGCTTTCACAGCGAACGCGATACAAAAAAAAGGTAGAGAGAGAAAGAGGGCGTCTAAGCGCTTCCCCCCCCCTCTCCTCGTTTTTTTTTCCCTCACTCACGGTGAAACATCAACAGGCATCGTCGTCCCTTTTCTTGTTGCTGGTGTTGTTGCCTCGCCGCCCTTCACGCCTCTCTCCACCACCCCTTCTTTGTTTTCTGCGCCCCGCAGCCGATCCAAGAGGGCCGTCGCGGCACCGATTCCCTCGGAGAGGACCACTGCGCCGCACAACGCCGTGGCCGCGGCCATTCGAACCTCCTCCGGTGGGAATTGCCCACACGCTTCGAACACGGACGCGTCGTAGAGCAGGAGATCCTCCACGTCAAGCCTTCTGGGAATGTTCGCAACCTCCGCCGCCGCCAGAACCCCCGCCACGCCATGCACGGCCGCGACCTCCCTCAGCAGACGCAGCGCGGAGGAGCCCGTCAGCGTTAATTCGATCGGCATCGCCACCGCCGCGCGCACCGACCGCGCGGCCACGTAACTTGGGTGGATGAGCGCGCACAGAAACAGGTCGTTGCTGGCCCACCGCTCCCTCGGGACGACTCCCGCCAGCGACGTCTGCAGACGCGCCGTGGAGGTCCGCACCCAATTCGCCGGCAGCTGCAGGCTCGCCTCATGCGGACGGAGCCTCGAGACGGTCCTGAAGACGCCCTTTTCAGCAGCAAACGTCACTCCTTCCGAAACGGCCTCCTGCGCAGTTTCCCTCAGGAGCCGCAGGTAGTGCCGTCGGTTCCTCACGGCGGCGGCACTCAAGCCCCGACTAGTCATCTAACGGAAAGAAAACAAGCACAAACAAAAAATGCTACGACTATCCGCTGTGGGAGAGAAATAGAGGTCGGGACCACAAGGAACGCTTGGGCTCCAAACGCCGCCTCCGCTTCCAAAGAAAGCAAAAAGAAGAAAAAATGAGCATAAAAGAAACACGAGCTTGTTTTTTGTTTGTTTCTTTGTTTTTGTTTTTTCTTCCTGAAGTACACAGTAGCCGCAGAAACAGACAAGCGACGTCAACGCCAACACCTCAACTGCAGCGAACTCCCGCCCACAGGCACCACACACACACACACATCTGGCCACCATTCCCCCCAACGAATGGGTCAGGTGGGAAGTTCACGGCAGCAAAAGGCGCCGGTGAGGCGAAGCGCAATGTCAAAAGTAAAAAGGGAAATCGAAGGAACATGTGACGGCTGCGCGCTTGGCGAGTCACCCCCGCCGTAAGCGACCCCGCGGCAACTGGCGCGTCCCCTCCTCCCTGCTCGCGCGGTTGACTCGAGGCATAAGTCGTGAAAGCGAACATGCACGGCAGGAAAAGAGGAAAAGAGGACAAAACTGACTCTTTCCCCATCTAATAAAGTAACTTGCGGTAGAGTACAGAGTCACCCTCTTCCTCAACATCGGCACGCGTTACCCAGAAAGGCGCAAAGGACGAGCTCGCCGCCGCCAGTGAAGCGCCCGTCCAGGCACCATCCACCGCAGACGAGAAGTGAAAGGCCCCGTCCTGCTCATAGCGAAAGTAGCACGAGTCCCTCTTCTGTGCCTCCTTTATCAACCGCTCGCGAAAGCCAGGCGCCTGTGCGGTTCCACCGCAAACAACATGCGGAACGGCTTGCTGTTGCCACTCAGGATCAATACTTTGCTTGCACGACACAAGGAGGTCTGCCAGGGTATCCCCACCCGCCGGCGCTGAGGGCGAGAAGAGCACCTCATACGGTTCCGTTCGCGCCGCCGCTGAAACGGTGACAGACGCCCCATCAGGGGCGCGCAACACCAGCGGCTCCTCCTTCCGTGGAAGCGGCGCATGCCCCACACGCACGCAGCACGACATCCTTTTAATGTCATTCACCGCGTCCTCCAAGGCCCGCTGACGAATGGAAGGGACACGGTAGTGTCGCACGCTCTCAAGCGCCTCCAGCTGATCCCGCTCTAGCATCGCCGTCAGACGCCCTGTGACGGCGCCCCCGGCCAGGCTGCTGGAGGCGACGGAGCCCCGCAACGCGTAGCCATCCAACACGGCCGCCGTGGTCGCCTGATTGTGCCCAACGTCTAGCACGACGGCGGAGGCCCTACCCGAAGCCAGCGTCCACGCCACACTCGGTCGACAGCAGTACAATGCGGAGGTAAACCCCGACTCCAACACGACGCGAAACAAGCTTCGCACCAGGTCAAACCGGTCATGCCATATCTCAGGCAAGACCAACATGAGCGGGTCATCCTCCGAGCACTGCAGCTGTTTACCCATGATGTGCGCCAGGTGCTCCACGTGCAGACTCATCCCATGCTCGAGTGAATGCAGGGTCCAAATAGGCTGCAGACTACCCACTCCCATGGCATCCGCTGCCAGGAGCGTCGATGGAAAACTGAGCTCCATAGGTCCAGCGTTGCAGTGTATGGATGGGAACCACCGTGTGCACTTTGCGTCGCCAATGTAGCCGGCACGGGTGGTCCACCCCAGCTCCACCACTGCCATCCCTTTTTCCCCCTAGTCTCGGTGGTGGAGCTGATATAAACGTACACAAAATGAAAGAGACACGTCATGCTTAGTCATGCCTAGGGCAGTTTCACACAGACCGAGCAGAAGAAGGCCCGGCCACTCGTGGACAGGCACATCCGCATCCACGTCAACGACGCAAAGGGCACAGACGCAGATACAAGTACGCAACGGCGTCTGTACGTAACAACAACAAGACGGAGAAAAATGAATAAGAATAACAACCATGTATACTATGTTTCACGAGAATTCCGGCGCTCCTGGCGAGTGCATATATGTAGCAACCTCTGAGACGCGGGGCATTCTTCCCAGTATCATGCGCGAAAACGGCGGAGAGAGGCAAAGAGGCCCTGGTCGTGAAATCGCTGAGCCAGCTCCTCCGCCGCCAACCTGGTTGGCGTCCGGAAAATGAGCCGCCCCGCCTCCCCAGGCGCCTCCACTCCCCGCAGCGAAAGGGACTCCCCAATGCAACGCACTTCAGCCTCCGCTGCGGCACTTTCGAATGTCACGCACACCTCCCACGCCGTGATTGGACGCTGCGCCGAAGTTGGCGTGGATTCCGGTGGAAGGTGAACCACAGGCGGTGACGGCTCCCGCGGTCGGAGGGACGTCCGGTTCATAACAGACTCGGTAACTGACGAGGAGGAGGCCCCGCCGCTTGTGGAGGGCGAGGGGGTCGTGAGTGTAAGGGCCTCCCGTGCCCGCTTCAAGTAGCAGTGGTGCAGAGCCGCTTCGTCGTCACGCATAAAGCCGAGGCAGCGCCTACACTGCATGCAAGGCACGTGATACCGGGCATCAGCACGCAACTCCTTGGCGCACTGCGGGCAGAGATCCATCTCACAGACATCGCAGTGGTAGAGGTATCGTGGTTCCTTCGCGCTCTTCTTTTGCTTAGGTGTTTTTCTACTGCGTCGTCTTCCCTTCGTCGGCGCCTCCGCTTCCTGCAGCTCGTCCAACCAGTCGGTGAGACCGCAGAAATCGCAACTAACTCCCTCAACGTCACCGTATTGTGACCGTTCCTTGACGCGCAGTTCATGGCCGTTCCAGCAGCGCCAGCGTTCCTTCACCGGATCGTACAGTGGACTTCCACACTGGAGCAAATACACCGTGTTTTCCGCAATATTCTCCTCAGGGTAGTTCGCCTCATACGCGGCATCCTCGGGCTTCGCGGCCTCCATGCTGTTGCCGTTGGAGTCGCGGCCTGGCTTCGCCGGCGGACGCTGGCGCTGGGGAGTCATTTGCGAAATTTCCCGCTGCGGCGAGATGCTGGGCGCCGACATCTCGATGAAGCGCGAGATGTTCACCGGCGCGGCGAGATACTTGGCGCTCATTCCCCACGCCGCGCCTGACGAGTTTCCGGTTTAACGCCTCTGCTGCTTGCCAGTGGGCCTCCGCTCCGCGCCCCGTCTGTTCCCCTAACTTGAAAGCAAGAATTTGTCTCTATCTCTCTCTCTCTCTCTCTCTCTCTCTCTCTCTGTATGTCTGTGTGTGTGTGTGTGGCTGTGTTTGCACTTGTAGTGACAGGCCCAGCGCGCACTCTACGTGTTGCTGGTCGACGCCGGCTGCCAGCTTTACTCCGGGCTTCCCCCCGCTCTGCCCACTTGGAGTGACTACCCGCCGCTGCAACGATCTCGCAGGAAAAGGGGGAGGAGGAGGCAAAACGAGCGTAGGAGAAGTCGCGGTCCAGCACGTGCGGAGGGTGGCGGCCGAAGCCCCAAACCCGTCGCCGCCGCCGGCCCCAGCGATAGAGAGAGAGACACGCACACTCACACGCACACACAGGCACGCACACACTCGCCCCCCCAAAAAAAAAACAGGAAGAGAAAGAAGGAAAGAAAGAAAGAAAGAGAGGGAGGGAGGGGGAGCTGCGATGACGCAGCCACACACACACAAAAAAAAACGAACCGCATTCCGCTTCAGGCGCCCCACTGTGCCCCTCTGCGGCACGCGCTCGAGTGCACCGCCGCCCTCCCCACGCCGCGGCGTGGGGAACTCTCCCCTCCCACAAGAAACAAACGAACAACCAAGCAGGGGAATAAAAGAAACGAGCAGAGCGCGTGGGAAGGAAAGAGAAAAAAAATCGGTGTGTGTGTGTGTGTAGTGGGGGGAGAGCGAGAGGAGGAAAGGGCGTTTCAAGCGGGAAGAAGAGAAGGGAAAGGGGTGAGTAAACACCTACGCAGAATGGACTTCCTCCCTTGCCTCTTTGCATCGCCACAACATGCGCTGGCAGGAGACAAAGCCTCGAAGTAAATCATGAAACACAAACGGGCACGGGAAGGTGCGTCAGGGAGGTGCAAGCTCCTTCTATTTTTATCGTGTGCCTCCGGGCTCCCCATTTTCTTTTCGCCGCGGTAGAATGAACGCGTGGGTGGACAACGGGGAGGAAATGAAGGGAGGAAGTGCATCAGTGGAACCGCTGTGGCAAGAATATCGCGCCGGCGCAGGAGTCAGAAAGAAAAAAAAAAGAGGGAGGTGTAGTGATATATGTAAAGCTATGAAACGATTTATGTAAGCACTCGAAAGGGACAACAACAACAACAATGCGGCACCCAGCAGAAACAAAACGAGAGAAAAGGAACGAAAAGAGAGATGATGGTATTGGAGCATCCCCTCCTCCGCTGGAAGGAGGTCTCCAGCAAAACTATAACACCGCCACTGCTATCACCGTCAAAAAAAAAATACACTTATTGCACATACACAGAGAGAGAGAGAGGGAGGGAGGGAAAGACAGACAGACACAATCGACCGAAAAATATACAAATAAGTTTACAACACTACCGTCACATATTCATGTCACTTTCCCAGCCCTCGTTTTTTTTCTTTCCCCCCCCCCTCCAGTGAGGCTCGAGGCACTTGCCGCATTGCATGTGGCAACCCGGTTGGGACCAGGCGTGGGGCGGCCACTGCTCTCACGGCAGCCGACGCAGACGAAAGGGGCCGGAGGCGCTGGCGTGGGTGCTGAGTCGTACGGGTGGCTTTTTAGGCAACTGTAAATTTGGCATGCAACGGGCACCGCCCCCCTCCGCGCCGCTTTCTTGGCTCGCCCACGGCCCCTCGCCTCCCTCGCCCCCGCTGCCTGCCACGCCCCGAGCGACGGGCGGCGACGGGTTGCCCAGCTCCCCGCACACGTTGAGGTCCCTCGCGGGCGGAAGGATGCGCCCCTCGCGGGGGAGGGGCGGCGACGCCTCCTCCGGCGAGGGGGTGGGCGAGAGAAGGTAGGACGAATTCCGCGAATTGATGGACGACTCTCGCGCATCCTCACCGCGCAGCCTGGCCACCACGCTCACCCGCATCGGCGGCGAGGCGGACCTCACGGTGTACTGCCGGAAGGTGCAGTCTCCCAGGCGCAAGAACACGCCGCGGCGAAGCGCCTCCTTCTCCACCACCGCCGCCTCCACGCGCAGCTTCTTTTGCTCGTAGCCGGCTAACGGTGAAAAAAACCACTGCGTGTCTCCCGTGGGCAGGCGCTCGCCCACGAAGCAGAAGCTACTGAAGTGATGTTTCCCGTTGTCCTCGACGTCTGTTGAGCGGCTCACCGGCGACAAGGTTAGGACCGTCCCCCCAACAACCAATTCCGCCGGCAGCTCCATGACGCCAGCTGCCCAAACACGAGACGGAACGTGTAAGCACAACACCGCAGGCCCAACAGCCAGGCTTGTGGCAGCTCTCCTACTAAGGGAGAGAAGGAGGGGAAAGGCTCTGCACGACTACCTACCACGCCGTGGCCCCATGCAAGGAAATCAAGTGAAGAGAAGCAAAGAGCGAGAGGATAGAGACAACACAAAAAAACACACACACTGGAGGGAGGTAGAAAACCCTTGGAATTGGCAGTAAAATACAAAGAGGAAGAGGTGAATGGGGTAGGAGCGCACACACACACGTGTCTTTCTCTCTCTCCCTCTGTGTTCCTACTAGCGTACGACATCATTACCCAATGCGCCCCTTCGGGCAGACTCCTGTACAACGACCATTGTTAACGTCCCATGGTACGATAAAGAAACTACTTCCCCTTTGCTGCCGTTCATACTGTTTCAGAGAAGGAGTTGATGTTGCCTTTCTTTTTCCTCCTCCTCGTTGAACACCAGCTCCGCTTCTCGCTCCAGTTCCCACACTACAAGGCACCCCCCACCCCCTCCACTAGATCAAAGCCCGACAAACTCCCCTTTTACTTCACAAGTAGTCGCACCACGCCCTCCCCCGCCGGTCTTGCGGCACTCAGGAGAAAACAGCCTTCACTGCCTCAACCACGACGTTGGCGGCACCTTCAATCTCCCCTCGGGTTGCCTTTCCCTTCACAAGGATCCGCAGCGCCGGGAGGTTCTCGCACTGCTCATCCTCAGAGTAGAGATGCCGCACGAGCATCACCTTCTTTTCCCTTGCCATCCGTACAACTTCTTCCAGCTCCACTTCCAAACTCTGGGCGTGGCTCTTCGCGTACGCGTCGGTGGGGCGCAGCACCAGAATTGGCGAGACATCCCCTTCGCACTCCAGCAAACGGAGCTTGTCGGCGTTGAAGCTAGCCTGTCGAAGGGTCTGGCGGAACAGCTTGGCGTTCGCCTGCAGCTTCTCGGCGTAGGTGTGGTCCCCGTCGAGCAGTGTGAGGGAGGTGGAGACGGCAGCCGTAATGTAGGGCGGCAGCGATGCGGAGAAAACGTACGCAGAGGCGGTGAGGCGCTGGTAGTCCACCACCGCCCGCGTCCCGGCACAGAAGCCTCCGACGGCGCCCAAGGAGGTGCTCAAGCTGCCCACATACAAATCAATACGCGTGGCTGGGATGCCAAAGTGCTCATGCGTGCCGCGGCCCGTTGAGCCCAGGCAACCGAACCCGTAACTGTCCTCCAAAATAATACGAAATTTGTACTTGTGGCATAGTTCAAGTATGCGTGGCAAATGGCAGAGGTCGCCACTGTTCCTAAAAAGACCCTCCGTCACCACAAAGCGTCGTGACAACTTTTTCGTGGCACTCTCCTTCTCCGCCACTTCCTTCAGGAGCGACTCAAGGTGAGGCATGTTGTTGTGGCGGTACTTGTAAACGGTGGCCCGGGAGAGGGTGCAGCCGTCCGCGATGGACAAGTTAACGCCCTCGTCCACGATGAGGTACTCCCCTCTGCCCGCGAAGCAGGAGATGAGCGTGGAGACCGTGGCAAAGGAAAGGCTGCAGATGATGGCGTCCTCCACCCCGAGAAACCGCGCCAAGTCTGTCTCCGCGTCCATGTGGGGCTTGATCGTGCCGTAGAACCCGCGAGGGCCACAACTCCCAACACCGTAAGCCATCACCGTCTCGCGTGCCACCTTCAGCACGGTGGGGTGCGTTGAAAAGGAGTGGAAATCCTCAGTCGCCAGGTCGAGGCACCGCAGCAGGCCCCCGTCCGCCGCGTTGCGAATGGTCACGTAGCAGCCCTCCCTGGAGTCCACCTCCGCCATCCCCGCCCCGTTGGGCACCGTGGCGTTGGTGGCCGTCCTACAGTTGGCCTGGAACATCTTCGATTGGAACTGCGCAATGCGGCGCTCCTGCTCCTCCGGCGGCGGCATCACAGGGGCGACCAGCTTGGACTTGTTTTTCTTTCTCTGCACGTGCTGCCTCCATAGCACAGCCGCCAAGGCGGCGGCGAACACAATCTCAAGTAGAAAGTGGAACGGATGCTCCACAATCTGCGTGAGCACGAGTGAAGCGACGGCATTCATGGCCATGCCTGCTCTATCACATGCAGGTTTAGGAGGGGAGAGTGGGGTCGGGGCCAATTAAAAGGACTCTTGAAGAAGCAAAGCAAAAACGGAGGGCTGCAAAGAAAAAAGTATATTTTCTCATGCAGGGGCAGCGTATATCATGGGCGGCATAATCCACGCACAGACACAGAAAGGCTAAGGCCGGAACAGACACGTGTACAAGGAGATCTATATATATATATATATATATATATATATATATGAAGCCGCAACCAAGAAAAAACAAACGTCGCACTAGTGCAGCAGAGAAGAGACGAATGCGTTGTACTCCAAGCGACGCACACGGCGCAGCATCACCCAGCGAAAGAAATAAACCTGCAAAAGAGGCAGCAAGCTGCGCCGCTCAAGCTGCAACGCGACGACAATGCGTACAAACCACAGCTTCCACTTGTGAAACGCCCGACGCGCCACACGCCAGTAGGCTGCATGCCCAATGCGACAAAGCGCCTTGCAGAGGGAAGCGTATCGCCGCCAACGCAGGAAGAACCCCTGCACAAACGACTCTAGCGTTCGCCTCTCCATGTCCCAGGCAACAATGCTGCGGGAAACAAGCAGGCTCCACTTCTGTAGCGTGCGTCGAGCCAGAGAACGGTAGGCCGCATGCGCAATGAGTCTCAACTGCTTTGTGTGCAAATTCCTCTGCCGCCATCGCACCCATGCTGCAAAGTAGTTGTGAGCTAAACGAATTGTGCATGACTCAGACACAGCCGCCACCTTCCGACGCAGTTCGACCCGTCGTTCCGCCGCGGCACGCCATTGAACACAGTGGCGCCACGCCAGCGACCGTTCGGCCTCGTACCGTATGCCACGCAAGCGAGCAAGTTGCTGGGACCGTTTCCGCCGAAGCCGCGCAGCCAGCCGCCAGCGTTGCCAATATCGACAGACAAGCGACACAAACGCCTCTCGTGCGAGTGAATGCTCCAGGTGTCGTACAGCAGCGGCGCGAGTGGCGAACAAGAACCACCTGTAGAAGATCGATAATAGATGGCTGGTAACGGCCCGCGCCTGTATTCCCTGCAAAGCCGCTAAAATGCGACGCCTGTGAGCCCACCGCCGCCAGCTCATCATGCAACGTCGTGCGAGCCCCAACGGCGCCTGCATGCGCTCGGCGCACCGCATATCCGCTGCTGCCGTGGAGCGCTCTCCCGGCACCGCCTCTGCCAGCGCCCGCGACGGCAGACACGCAGCGAGAGTGCCTGTGGTCGGCGTGCCGCGCCCCCTCACGAGACTGGTGGTTACAGCCTCGGCCCGCGGCTTGGGGTCGAGGCACGCCAGAGGGCCGCGGTCGCTCGCTGCGGCGGCTCCCCAGCGTCGCGCGCGCATCCCCCGATTTTTGCGGGGAGCCTCCCCCTGCGGACGCAAAAATCGCACGCGTCTGTTTTCTCCCGCGTGAGTGAGGCGCCGACGCACACACGAAGCAGCGGCAACCCAAATAACAATAGTAATAAAGAGATGAAAAGAAGAAAAGCCAAATTCGGCCGCAAGATTCCTCAAGAGGCGGAACTTGCAAAAGAAAGTGAAGGACAAGAATAAAGAAATAGAAGTGGTGCGACTCAAGCAGCCACCCTCTTCCTTCCTTCTCTTTTTTATCTCTCCATCGCCTTCCATTGAAGGCGCTCGCTGGACCCCATTCAGTTTATGCGATGTTTTTTGCGAGGCCGCGGTGGCCGTCCCTCGAGAAAAGTCAGCACATTGCATGCAGCGGAGCAAACGTCATTCGCGTCCAACGCGGACGGAAACGCCCCACGCTCGTCTTCAGTCTGAAGTGCCCAGCCCTCCACGAAGGCGACAAAGGCAGAGATATCGTCAAGCGAGCTCACACAGGCGGGGGCGGCGTTATCCTTCTCCTCCTCCCCCGCCGCCGCCGCCGCCGCCTTCGCCTCCTTCGCAGGGAGAGACTCCCGCTCTGGCTGCCGCACCGCCTCCACCCTCTTGGAGAGGTGAAGAATGTACTGCAGGACGGCATCCCCAATGGGGTTGGGGGCGCCACACAGGGACTGGGCAACGAGGGCGTGCAGGCACTTAAGATCCTTCGCGTGGCCCACGGCGGCGTTGCCGTACTTGCGACCGCTGGCGGACTCAGGAGGGGAAACAAAGTGGGACTCAAAAAATGCCCACCGCTGGTCGCTCAGCAGTGCCCGGGCGCGGGCCTCGTAGCGCGCATGAGAAGCCACGTGCTGGGCGGCCAGCCTGCCATTTTCATCCACGAGCCGCTGCAGCGCCCCGACCGCGCCATGCCGCTCAAGCCGTGCCACCATCGTGTTCAGGTAAGGGCAGGTGAGCCAAAAGAGAGTGGCACCTACAGCGGCACTGCGACCGTTGCGACCAACTTTGCCCGCGGTCGAACACAACACGGCGGCGCCTCCGTGCAGCTTGCAGGTGGCCAACTCCACGTCCGCCACGCGGTAGCTCTGCTGGCAAGCTGCCGCCTCGAACGCGCTGCGTTTACTGGCGGCGCCCGACGGATGCATTGGCAGATTGCAGGTAAAAAGATATATATATATATAACTCAGTAGAGCTTCCCCACCTCGTCTCGCTTACGCGCTACCCGCCCTCGCCTAGTAACACACCCAAGTAAAGAGACGAAAAGGGGGGGGGAAAGCAGGGGAAAACGCAGCTGATTGAAGTCAACACATGTCCAGCGATACCAGAAACGAAACAAAAAAAGCATTGTGGAAGTAACACATATGCATATATGCATTGACCTATATATAATGAAAAGAGAGAAGAGGAAGGAAAAAGTGAAAGCACTTCCCCCAACCCACCCCATTAACACTGTACATGTGGCTCGCAGTTAGACCTCTACACGAGCCCAATACCCCGCGCGCTCTGCACCATCGCTACGATCCATGCTGAGTCTCACCGGCGGCAGCAGCATCAACCTCGTCAGGTGCGCCCGGCCCCTGGGCCGATTCTGCAGACAATCCGTAAATTTTGTTGATCTCGTCAACCGTAAATTCCCGCTTCTTGGGTACAGCCAAGCGCGTCACGTACTCGCGTATCTCCGAGGCCTTCTTATGGACCACAGGTGGTCCAGAGTAGAGGTATCGTTTCCTGCTTTCCTCCATGTTTGCCTTCTTCCGCTGCATAGACTCGGCATAAAGCCACTCTGTGCTTCTATCCACGTTGCCAGCGGACGCCTTGCGTGGTTTGTAGCCTTCCTGGATCCGTGCCTCGCGCTCCTCGCGCGCCGCCTGCCGCTTCGCCATCTCCTGATTCACCTGCCGCGTGACGCTGCCGTCTATCGTTTCCTTGTCAAGCCGCTTTGGCGGCATTGTGGGGTAAAACCGGGCCTCCAGCTCCCGCAGCGTTTCCTGCCTGTGCGCCATGGAATGATCGTGCAGGCGGACAACCAGCTGTTCCTCCTGCTCCTTCGTCAGCTTCGCAGCTGCGGGGGCCTCGCCCTCCTCCGGATACATCGCCGCGAGGGCACTTCCCGGCTGCCCAGCGCGCCTCCAGCTGGCGCGACGCACAACAGCGGCAGCGCAACAAGAGAAGAAAAGAAAAGGAAAAACAAGGGGACGAAGTCGCACGTACAAATACACCCCGGTCACACTAAAGTTGCCGCCACCGCCGCAAAACAAACCCAAAAAGAAAAAACTATCACTTTCCCCCCATATCTTATTTCTCGTGTGATGGGGCAAGGAGGAAGGGAAATAAAAGCTGCAACGGCGCTTCCATCCGTCTCTCTCTCTCTCTCCACCATTCGCATGGATGTTCCGCCAGGCAGCCTCGGTCCACACGGGAGGCAGAAACGAGAATAACAACAGGCCGAAGAAGAAAGAGAGGGAGGCAAGGAGGGGA